ATTTGGTATAGCCACTATGGAAAACAGTATGAATATTATAGAAATTCCTCAAAAAAGTAAACATAGAGCTACCATATGATCCAGTAATCCCACTTCTGAGTTTATATCTGAAGGAGATGAAATCATTATCTCGAAAAGATACCTATACCCTCATGATCTTTGACTACAGCATTATTTACAATGCCCAAGACAAGGAAACAACCTAGTCCCATTGACAGATGAATGGATAAAGAAAATGTGGTGTGTGGGGTGATGTATCTCATATATATCATATAATACATATCATAGACATACAAATATACGTTGGAATATTATTAAGTCATTAAAAAGAAGGCAATCTTGCTATTGGCAACAACATAGTTGGATCCCAAGGGTCCTATGCTAAGCAAAAGAAGCTAAACAAATATTATATGATCTTACTTATATGTGGAATCTATATTTTTAGAGAGAGTGAATGAGCAGGCACGGGATGAGGAGAGGGAGAGAGGGAGAGAGAGAATCTTAAGCAGGCTCCACACCCAGTGGAGAGTCTGATGCTGGGCTCAATCTCACTATCCTGAGAGCAGACCTGACCTGAAACCAAGAGTTGGATGCTTAACCTACTGAGCCACTCAGGCACCCCTATGTGGAATCTATTTTTTAAAAAGCTAAATTCATAGAGGGGCACCCGGGTGGTTCAGTGGGTTAAGCCTCTGCCTTCGGCTCAGGTCATGATCTCAGGGTCCTGGGATTGAGCCCCACATTGGGCTCTCTGCTCAGCGGGGAGCCTGCTTCCCCTTCTCTCTCTGCCTGCCTCTCTGCCTAATTGTGATCTCTGTCAATTAAATAAATAAAATCTTTAAGAAAAATAAATTCATAGAAAAAGAATAGAATGGTGGTTGCCAGGAGCTGGGGGTGGGGGAATGACAAGATGTTGTTCAGAGGGTACAACTTACAGTTATAAGATGTATAAGTTCTAGGAATCTAATATTCAGCATGGTGATTATAGTTAACAGCACCATATCATATACTTGATAGTTGTTAAGAAAGTAGACCTTAAATATTCTTACTACACACATGCATACACATACAAATTATAATTATGTGAGATGACAGATGTGATAACTAACTTTATTATAACAATTTTGCAATATATACATGAACCAAATCATCACATTATATACCTTAAACTTAAATATGTCAATTATATCTCAATACAGCTGGAAATTAAAATAGGACCCAAAAAAGGGGCCACCAAAAATCATAAGATACTTAGGAATAAACCTAATCAAAGAAGCAAAGGATCTGTACTCAGAAAAATGGGGAACACTCATGAAAGAAACTGAGGAAGACATAAAGAAATGGAGAAACATTACATGCTCATAAATTGGAAGAACAAATATTGTTAAAATGTCTATGCTATATAGAGCAATTTACATATCCAATGCAATCCCTATCAAAATACCATCAACTTTTTTCACAGAGCTGGAACAAATAATTCTAAGATTTGTATGGAACCAGAGAAGTCTCCGAGTAGCTAAAGAAAGGCTGAAAAAGAAAACCAGAGCTGGCGGCATCACAATTCCAGACTTCAAGCTCTATTACAAAGCTGTAATCATCAAGACAGTATGGTACTGGCACAAAAATAGACTATGTGTTCCAGATCAATGGAAGAGAATAGAGAGCCCAGAGATGGACCCTCAACTCTATGGTCAACTAATCTTCAACAAAGCAGGAGAGAATGTCCACTGGAAAAAAGGCAGTCTCTTTAACAAATGGTGTTGGGAAAATCGGACAGCCACATGGAGAAGAATATCTATACCATATACCATAAACAAAAATAGACTCAAAATCAAAGAAGGACCTACATGTGAGAGAGGAAGCCATCAAAATCCTAGAGGAGAACATAGGCAGCAACCTCTGTAACCTCGGCACAACTTCTTGCTAGATACGTCTCCAAAGGCAAGGGAAATAAAAGCAAAAATGAACTATTGGGACTTCATCAAGATAAAAAGCTTTTACTCACAGCAAAGGAAACAATCAACAAAATCAAAAGACAACCAACAGAATGGGAGAAGATATTTGCAAATGTCTTATCAGATAAAGGGCTAGTATCCAAAATCTATAAAGAACTTATCAAACTCAATACCCAAAGAACAAATAATTCAATCAAGGAACGGGCAGAAAACAGGAACAGACATTTCTGCAAGAAGACATCCAGATGCCCAACAGACACATGAAAAAGTGCTCAACATCATTCAGCATCAGGGAAATACAAATCAAAACCACAATGAGATACCACCTCACATTAGTCAGAATGGCTAAAATGAACAAGTCAGGAAATAACAGGTTGGCGAGGATGTGGGGAAAGGGGAACCGTCCTATACTGTTGGTAGGAATGTAAGCTGGTGCAGGTGCTCTGGAAAATAATATGGAGGTTCCTCAAAATGTTGAAAATAGAGCTACCCTATGACCCAGCAATCTCACTACTGGGTATTTACCACAAATATACAAATGTAGTGATTTGAAGGGGCACCTGCACCCCAGTGTTTATAGCAGCAGTGTCCACAATAGTCAAACTATGAAAGAGCCCAGAAGTCCATCGACAGATGAACGGATAAAGAAAATGTGGTATAGGGACACAATGGAATATTATGCAGTCATCAAAAAATGAAATCCTGCCATTTGCAATGACATGGATGGAATAGAGGGTATTATGTTAAGTGAAATAAGTAAATCAGAGAAAGGCAATTATATGATCTCAGTCATATGTACAATTTAAGAAGCAAAATAGAGGATCATAGTGGAAGAGAGGAAAAACTAAAGAAGCAATCAGAGAGGGAGAGAAACCGTTAGAGACTCTTAATCATAGGAAACTTGAGGGTTGCTAGAGGGGAGGGGGTGCAGGGAATGGGGTGACTGGGTGATGGACATTAAGGAAGGCATGTGACATAATGAGCACCGGGTGTTAGATAGGACTGATGAATCATCCATCTCTACCTCTGAAACTAATAATACATTATATGTTAATTGAACTTAAATGAAGATCTAAAAAAATGTGCCAGGGCGCCTGGGCGGCTCAGTGGGTTAAAGCCTCTGCCTTCGGCTCAGGTCATGATCCCACGGTCCTGGGATCGAGCCCCGCATCGGGCTCTCTGCTCAGCGGGAAGCCTGCCTCCTCCTCCTCTCTCTCCCTGCCTGCCTCTCTGCCTGCTTGTGATCTCTGTCTGTCAAATAAATAAATAAAATTTTTAAAAAAATAAAATAAAAAAATGTGCCAAAGACTTAGCAGACACTTCATTAAAGAAGATATATAGATGGCAAATAAGCATATGAAAAGATGCTCCACATCATATGTCACTAGGGAACTGCAAATTAAAACAACTGATACACACCTACCATAATGGCTAACATTTAAAAACACGCACAACACCCAATATGGACAAGGATGTGGAGCAACAGAAACTCTCATTCACTGCTGGTGGAAATGCAAAAAATGGTACAGCCACTTTGGAAGACAGTCTGGTGGTTTCTTACAAAACTCAATATACTTTTGCCGTAAGATTCAGTAATCACAGTCTTTGGTATGGACCCAAAGGGTCTGAGTAAAAAGATGAGTGGTTATGGCAGAGGGAGGGAGGGGACTAGGTGGAGCACAGAGGATTTTTAGGGAGGAGCCCCATCTCTGTATGATGCTATTATGGTGGGTATATGCCATTATAGATTGGTCCAAACTCATAAAATGCTCAATACCAAGAATGAATCCCAAGATAAACCTGGGGTGATAATGATGTGTCAGTGTAGGTTCATCGGTTGTAACAAATGTCCCACTCTGGTGGGGAGTTACTGATCATGGGCGGAGGCTATGCGGGTGTTGGAGCAGGAAGTGAATGTGAAATCTCTGTACCTTCTTCCCAATTTCGGTGTGAATTTAAAACTGCTCTAAAAATAAATTCTATTACACAAATTTTTAAAAATAAAAATAAATGAACCAAGCAAAAAAAAAAAAAAAAGTAAAAGAACTTGGCTGCTGATCTATTAAGTTGATCAAGTCTCCTTCGCAGCCCCCACTTCCTCTGGAAGGCTGAGGTGTGCAGAGAGGCCGGCACGCCCCCTGCAGGCGGGAAGAGGCGAGTAGCGGCGGGCTTCAGGCTTGGCCCCAGGCCCCCACAGCAGGTGGCAAAAGGGAATTACCAGGAAGCGCTGAAAAATACCAATGCTCGGGTCGCCTCACACCAACGGAGACTTCCCAGGAGCAGAGTCCAGGCCGGGGGAGTTGAAAATAGCTCGCGTGCATTCTAACACGCAGCCGGGGCTGAGAATCCCCGGGACCGAGCGGCGGCACGTGGGGGAGGCACTGGGGGTCAGGAAGCAAAGGAAACTTTCCCAGAGAGGCGGACGCCGCTCCCCGCGGGGTCGTGCGGTGGGCTGCTCACTCCAGCCGCGCCTTCCAAGGGCCGGCAGCTTGGGTCAGTGGCTCTGGCGTCAAGCACAGGGGTCCCGAGGCAGGTGAACCAACCGTCGGCCCTCCTGGAGGGACGCTAGGGCCTTGGGTCTGCGGCAACCGCCCCGCACTAGGTGTGGGGCCACATCCCGCGCCCCCGGCCCCGCCGCTGCCGCGGGACGCTTTTCACCATCGAGTCCCGGGCGCAGGGTGCGGCTCCGAGTTCGCGCTATAGCTGACAAGGGCTTTGTCACTTTTCCTACTCTATTGCCACCAAGTGGCGATTACACCACTTCGGACTTCCCCTGGTGACGAGAGGACGAACAGGGGACCATGTCTACTTCGGAGCCAACTTTTGTCTACACCTCCTAATTCGTGACCTTTAACACTAAAAACAGGCCAGCGTACAAACTAGAAAAAAAAACACACACACACATACACGGGGCGGGGCGGGGGAGGGTTGAGAACCAGCTCACGGACGTAGAAGTGGAACCAGCAGGAGAACGCCTCCCCCGCCAGCCTGGTGGGCTCCCTCTCACCCCGCCAGGGCACCCCCGCGCCCTCTCCGCGCACCTACCCGCGACTCCGCACCTCTCTCGCCTCGGGCTCCTCGCCCACGCTGCCCTCGGAGTCCCGGAAACTGGGCGGACCGCGAACCTCGGGGACCCCCCATTGGGAGGCCGGATGCCCTCTCCCTCAGCGTCCTCCTCCAGCGCGCGCCCCGCACACCTGCGACCCTGCGCGCCGCGGGGCACCTGTCCCGGGTAGGAGGGACCGGAAACGCGTGTCTCCCGGCGCGCGCGCCGCCCATCCCCGCCGCCTGCCCGCGCAGCCTGCGCCCCGCCGGCTCCCGGCTCCCGGCTCCCGGCCCTTTAAGGCGGGTAGCTGCGGCGGCGGCGGGTAGCTGCGGCGGCGGCGGCCGCGCTCGGGGCGGGGAGAGCGAGGCGCGCCACGCGGGGCCGGCTCCGCGGCAGTAAGTAGAAGCGAGGCCCACCTCGAGCCCCGCCGCGTCGCCGGCCCCGCTTCGGGGCGGCCTGGGCTGGGGAAGTGGGCGGCACTCCCGGGGCGGGGCGCGTCCGGCGCGGCTGGGGGAGGGGTCCCTCCCCAACCCCCACGCCCACCCTGTGGGTTCCCGGAGCTCTGGGGCCCGCCGGAAGCGAGTGCGTACCTGGACCCTTTGGAGGGGACTGGGCGGGTTCTGGGGACTCAGGGCAGGCCTCTGAGCCGCGGACGCCCGAGCCCGCCCTGGACCCGGGCTCCTGCTCTCCCCGTCCGCGACTCGGGGCTCACGAGTGTCTTTCACTTGCAGTCCGGGCGAGATGGAACTGCGACCGTGTCAGAAAGCCGGCTGACCAAACCGTTAACACTCAGTCCAAGTGCAGCTTCGGGCCCGGGGCTGTCGCTGTTGAACGCGCGGAATTTAGAGGGGGTGGAGGGAAGACCGAAACGAAGCCGCGAACACTCTCCTGCCGACCGCCGCGAGTGGCAGCCGCGGTCCAGACGGGCCCGGACAGTGTAGAAAGCACTACTTTCACCGAGGCCGAGGCCAGCAGCCCCGCTGCGCTCGCTCTTACCGCGGCCCCAGTTCACCCGGTGGTGACCGCGGAGTGCCTAGGGCATCCTGCGGGAGTGGTACGGGTGTGCGTGCTTTCGCCCAAAGACCTCGTCTGGCGTGCTTCAGAACGGAATCTCCCTTCCCAGAAGAGGAAGAGCCGTGCAGAAAGGAATTAGACAAAGTCCCCCGCCCTCCCCGCCCCCTTTGTTGTCTTCTTTTGAACCTGTAAAAAAATGGCCTTGAAAAGCATTTGGGGCTACTTAAGAGAGTGCATTTTTTTCTGGCCAGAGCGTCACGCAGGCTTCTTTTGCCCAACAGCTTTGAGGGAGCAGAGAGCGGAGTGCAGGCGAAATGGCCCTGGTGCCCTATGAGGAGACAGCGGGAGTGGGCTTGCAGAAATTCCACAAGCCTCTAGCCACCTTCTCCTTTGCCAACCACACCATCCAGATCCGGCAGGACTGGAGACAGCTGGGAGTCGCAGCCGTGGTGTGGGACGCGGTAAGTACACCCCTGGGCCTCTGAAGACCACTGCAACTGATGATATGACTGCACTTTATTTACTTATTTTTAATAACAGCTTTATAGTGAGATACAATTCATATACCAGACAGTAATTAAACTTGCCACACGCAGCAGCACCCTGTGTTGTGTGGGCAGTGTCCTTGACCCCTACTGTCCTCAGGGGGGATCTTGTGGGGCCTGAGGCCTCAGTGTCTGTGCCTGATTTAGGGGGTCACCTCCCAGCAGCAGCTGAGTTTCTGCCTGTTGTTGCTAAACTGGGACTGGAACCTTGCAGGGGGAAGAGGGGTGTGTGATGTCTTCCTGCTAGTGGGAAGTCTATCTGATATGGGCTCCTAAACCACTTGTTGACTTGAATCATCCCGCTGTGCTTTGACTCAGGCTGTCGTTCTTTGCGCGTATCTGGAGATGGGAGCTGTGGAGCTCCGGGGCTGCTCTGCTGTGGAGCTGGGTGCCGGCACCGGGCTGGTGGGCATAGTGGCGGCCCTGCTGGGTGAGTGCCATACACTGGCTCACTTCTCTGTGAGTGGAACTCATTGCGTGGTGTGATTGCTGTTTCCTTGAGACAGATCCATACTAGTTTTCCCCTTGCTGGATTTTTCTGTGCCCTGTGCTTATGAGTCAACTGCTGGTGCCCTTAACTCCAGTAAGCCTGGTTTCTTCTCTCTTGTTCTTGCTCTCATCCTGTTATTTATACTTCTCATAAAAGATTGCTTTGCCTTCTTCAGTTTTTTAAAAAATTTTGTTTTTTAAGCAAGCACATTTATTTGGGCAATTAGAATTGCAATTGGGGAGACTGTTAGGTTGTCTGAATTAGGTTCCTGCCCCCCTTCAGTTTTATACCAGTAATATGATCTGAAGGCAACTTTCAGTTCAAAGAGAATTCTCATATTCACGCATACAGCTTTTTTTCCAGTTTAGGGTCCTTCCCATACTCCGTTGGATTTAACCCTGTGACGCAGGTTGAGCAGGTAGTCTCATTCTTATAGTTTCCTTGCTGAGAAAACTTTGCTGGTTTTTCTCTTCTAAGAAGGGTCGTCCCTGCTATAGTTTATACTGACATATTTAAAAATTGTATTCACAGTATGCAGTCCTGAATTGATATCAGGGTTTGCCATTTTTGTTTGGTGTACATATATTAACTTAGGCCTAGAGCATTTTTAAGCTTTTTTTTTTTTTTTTTCTTAAAGTTTTTTTTTTTTTTTTTGAAAAAGAGAAAGAGCACTGAACAGTGGGGAGGGGGGGGGGTTGGGGCGAGGGGGAGAAACAGACTCTGCGCTGAGCAGGGAGCCCACTCAGGACTCGATCCCAGGACTCTGAGATCAGAACCTAAACCAAAGATGGACGCTCAGCGGACTGAGCCACTCTGGCACCCTTAAGCTTTGTTTTTATTTTATAATTTAAAAAAATCCTTTGTTGAGTCCTTTCTACAGCTTCTGACTCCTGCAGTTCAAACTATCCAATGAGATATAACATTCATTTCAGTATTGTCACCTGGGGCTCTTGTTAAAATGTTTAAGCTTCTGTAGGTCTGCGGTCAGGCCCGAGAGCCTCCGTTCTGACAAGCTCCCAGGGGGTGATGATGCCAACACTATTGGCAGTTAGACTACACTTTGGTGGTCAGGAGCTAGAATTCCATCCCATTATGTATAGGTACTCAAGGACCCACAAAAGCCCGTCCTTTATTGTGTTCTCTTTCTGGTAACTTCTTTCTTTTTTCAGTCTTCCTTTCTCTGTTTAGCTCTTGCCTTTCCAAGTGTGACGGAGAGCGGGGCAGGGTGGTGGGAGCTAGGTTTCCATCGCCGCACACCACAGCCCTTGCAGGCACTGATGAAGCCCTAGCTCGTACACTGCCTTTTTGTTAGCCTTGTAACATCCCCATGGGTGTTAGGTATTATTTTGAACTTCTTATTTTCCAGTGAAACTGGGGTTCTGGGAGATGAAGCCCTTTGTGAAGTCCTGGTCAGTGGAGACCTGAGAGTCAAACCAGGCTCCTGACACTGCGGTCCCTTGTCATCTTTCCTTGATGCTAACTTTGCTGCTGTGAGAGGAGTTACCTGGAAGGGAGATGAGGTTTCTTCTGTTTCTGCAGCAGCTGGCATAGAAACAGATTAGTTGGCCAAGTGCATAGGTTTAGAGTTATACTTGGTTTTGACACCTCCTTTAACTCTTACCAGCTCTGTGACCTTCGGCAAATTGCTTAATCTCTCAGCTTCAGTTTCCCTGTAAACTGGGGATAATAATTAGTTCATGCCTGAGGATCCAGTGAGATCAGGCACAGGAAGTGGTTAGCTCATTAACTGGCACAAAGCAAATGCTCAAATAAATGTTGATTGCCCCGCTGAGTATTTCTGTTTGTGATCTAGAAATCTGGGTCTGTGGGGTGGGGAAAACCGAATGAGCTTCTTCAAAGACTAGGGCAGAGCGAGGAATGGTTAGTTGTTGCCTCACAAGATGGACAGCTCCGGGAGTGGCTGGAAGGGAGCCGCAGACTGTGTGCTCCTGATGGGGGACGTGTGCTTCCTGGACGTGTGCTTCACTGTCACCTTTTGGAATCCTTTCCTGCCCCATAGTAGAATTCATTGCTGCCTTATTTCTTCTCCCCATAGCGCTTGGTCGGCTCACCACCTATGTCCCCACTGTGTCACACATTTTGTAACAGGCGGTTTGTCCTTGTGTCTGTCTGTCCTGGCTGGCTGAGGTTCCTGAGACTCGGGACTGCACCTTACTCTGTGTGTCCTTGGCCCCACACACCACTTGCCACACAGTAGATACTCCAATAGCTCTGGAATCAGAGTTGGACAAACTAGGAGATCATGAAAAGTCATGTTTCTTTTACAAAAGTGATGTCACTCTATTTCAAAAGTAGCCCTAGAAGCAGAATACAGAAAGGGGGTGACGAACTCATCAAACGTCCTAATTATTCATGACTCTGCAACATACATACTGTTGCCATTTTGGTATATTTCCTTCCATTCCTTTTCCTCCCCCTGTATCTTTTTTTTTTTTTTTTTTTTTAAGATTTTATTTATTTGAGGGAGAGCATGAGCAGGGAGGAGAGGGAGAAGCAGACTCCCCACTGAGCAGGGAGCCTGATGCAGGGTTCCATCCTAGAACTCCTGGATCATGAGCCTAAGGCATATGCTTAACTGACTGAGCCATCCAGGTGCCTCCACCTCCACCTGTATTTTTAATCATAGCTGTAATTCACTGTTAAAGAGTGTGTGTGTATGTGTGTGCACACATACATATGTATATACACACACATATGTCTCATTTAACATTACACCGTGTGTACCTCTCTGTGCTATGTGATTTGCATACCCTTTATTTGTTGTGGCTGCAAAGTATTAGGTGTTAGTTTTGAGGTTGAAACCTGAGACTAAAGAAAAAGTCTCTTTAGAAAGGAGGCAGTGAGAACAGAATAGGTAGTGATTTTGAAATGTAAGAGGTTGATCATTCCCCTTTTATTTATTTATTTATTTTTAAAATATTTTATTTATTTATTTGACAGAAAGAGATCTCAAGTAGGCAGAGAGGCAGGCAGAGAGAGAGAGGAGGAAGCAGGATCCCAGAATCCTGGGATCATGACCTGAGCCGAAGGCAGAGGCTTTAACCCACCTTTAAGCCACCCAGGTGCCCCAATCATTCCCCTTTTTAAAGTATTTTTGTTTTTCTATCCTGAGTCATTTATTCCTGAATTCAGGGAACACCCAAAAAAGCCCTGGTGAGTTTTCTGCAGAACTTTAATAATGAGTGATGAGATTTTCCTGTTAAAAGAATAAAAACACCTGTTGATTACTAGGCAGTTCCCAGGTCCCAGGTCTTTAGTCTGTCCTTTTCAGCGTGCCCCTGTGTGGTGGGTGGGTCCAGTTGGAGCTCTCTTCAGTGGTGAAATGAAGGCTTGGTAGAGGTTAGGTAACTTGCCCAAGGTCATGAAGCTCATGGATTGTGGAGTTAGAATTGGAATCTAGTTCTGACTCTTAAACCCTGGTTCTTGCTTTGAAAATCTCTTTGTACTGCCTAGAAACTATTCTTAGAAAAAAGTATCCCATTTTAAAGATAGGGTTCTGTAAATTGGGGTGGGATCAGGGAATCTGGATTTTAAAAGCTTTTGAGGTGATTTGATGCCCACCAAGTCTGGGGAACAGTCTTAAAATATAATGCTCAGGGAAGAGCATTGTCTTTTAGCTTTCTGTACTTCTGGTGTAAGTCTCCACTAAGCTTTGCACTTGTGTGTTTAACTGAAGGATGGGTGTCTCTACCTGACTATTTCTCAGCATCTCAAACAGAACATGTGTTTACACTTGAGCTCTGCTTCTCTTTGCAAATGCATCTTTTTCTTTTGTTCTGAGATAGCGTGGCCATCAAAGTCCTCTCTCAAGCGAGCTGCTTGACCCACTCCCCCAGCCCCTCCTCCCTCCCCGAGCCCTGTTGATCTGAGCCCTGTTGATCTATTGTCTAATTTCCTGATTCCAGTTCTCCCTTTGTATGCCCCCCCCCACAACCCTCCAGCCTGGCCTGAGCTCTCAGCATCTTTCTCCCCTGTGATGCCAGGTGCATCCCCACAGCTGACCTCCCTGCCTCACTTTGTCTTCTCAGGCCCACCTCCCAGTAGGCTGGAGCGGCCCATTCTCCATGCAGAAGTGCTGGGGTGACCCAGACTTAAACACCCCTGTGCCTCAGGGCGCCTGGCTGGCTCAGTCGGTGAAGCATTCCTTGATCCCAGGGTTGGGAGTGCAAGCCCCACAGTGGGTGTAGAGCCTAGTTAAAAAACAAAAGAAAGCCCTGTGCCTCCCCAAGGCCTGAAACTCGTGAGGCTCTACCCCATTTTGCCTGACCATTTGGGCTCCTATTACAGAGCGGCTGCATTGTCTGTGGTTCCAGGGACACACCCGTGGCTTCTGGGCTGTCCCTTCTGCCCTGAGTGCCCTTTCATCACCCCTTTCCCCTGGTTAATGTCACATCTTCCCAGTGTAAGTTCAGATGCCTTCCTTCCGAGTTCTTCTCTGACCTCTGCCTCTCTTGAAGAGGGTCTCCGTTGTGACCACATAATTTCCTGGCAACCCATTTCCATATTTTACTCCCCACCTCGCATCACAGTCGTGTCTCTGTGTTTCCCTTCCTCCTGAACCTGAGCTCCTAGCGGCCAAGGGTGGTTTTGCTCATCTCTGTGTCTCTGGTACGTAGCATGTGCTCCCATATTCGAATAAAGTAAGGTGTTGCTTATAAAAGTACCAGCTAAAGTGATGGTAGGTGTTTATGTGTTCTTTCTCCGTTACTGAGTGAGTGGCTGTGGGACATGTAATTGTGCTGGGTTAGCTCTCATGAGTCCGTCATGAGCTAAGTGTTGCTGTGCCCTCCACACGCAGCACGAGCCTTGGGCGGGTAATTTCTTCACCATCTTCACATCCACAGGCACTCTGCCTGCCCTTGCTTCTCCTCACTTGAATGGCAGGTAGAGGGTAGCCCTCGGCTGATTCCGGGCCAGTGTCCCTATAGCTTGCTGCATATAGCCAGGCTGCAGGAACACGCCGCTGCTGGGCCTCACTTTGCAGAGGGGGTCAGGAACCTCAGGGGGAGGGTGATGCCACTGAGCGGCCCCGTTCTGCTTCCTCTCTTACTCTGCTAATCTCCTCTGTCCTCCGCCCACACTCCCAGCTGATGACATTTCTTCTTATTTCACTGAGGAGATTGCTGCAGGCAGACGAGAGCTTCTGTAGCCTCCCATGCCGCCTCTAACCCTCCCGTGTCTGGGCCCAGTGTCTCCGCTTTTGCCCTCCGTGGGACATCCTCACATGCGCTGTCTGCCCTGCAGGGCCAACCCGTTCTTCCTTCTTCCCTCTCCTGCATCTTCACTTTTCTTCTCTCTTTCCACCTGACCATGTGTAATGAATGTGTAATGGAAATGTGTAATGGAAATGTATTTTCTGTAGGAGGAAATGGGCAAGATGACCCCGGTATATCTTGTTAGCAAGGAAGCTAACAAGGATGACATGGGGTTGTGTCAAAAGTCCACTGGCAAAAGATAGGACAAATTGAACATCAATATTCATAGTGGCACTGGATTTAAACATATCAAATGTTTAATCCACGAGTTCATGATACACCACCAACAAAATAAACCCAATTAGTCATCTTTTTAAAGATGCTCCGAAACCAGATCTTTGGAATCTGGTGTATAAAAGGGGAGGGAGGGGCACCTGGGTGGCTCAGTTGGTCAAGCGGCTGTCTTTGGCTCAGGTCATGATTCCAGGGTCCTGGGATTGAGCCCCGCATCGGGCTCCCTGCTCAGCGGAGAGCCTGCTTCTCTCTCTCCCTCTGCCTGCTGCTCTGCTTACTTGTGCTATCTCTCTGTCAAATAAATAAATAAATAAAATCTTTAAAAAATAAAATAAAAGGGGAGGGAGGAGCATAGTTCATCCTGCCTTTCTTATTCAGGTTCTATACAAAATGAGTAACAAATAGTAGTTGAAAGAAACCTCCCCTTATAGAAATTTCTCAACACACAAATGCAAAAGGAACTTAGTGAATGAAAGATCTGGGCATTGAGTATTTGTGCCTGCTCACATCACAAAAATGGAGCCTACCCAGTACTACATACCTCTTTTTTTTTTTTTTTTTTAAGATTTTATTTATTTATTTGAGACGGAGATCACAAGTAGGCAGAGAAGCAGGCACAGAGAGAGGAGGAAGCAGGCTCCCGCTGAGCAGAGAGCCCAATGTGGGGCTCGATCCCAGGACCCTGAGATCATGACCTGAGCCGAAGGCAGAGGCTTTAACCCACTGAGACACCCAGGCGCCCCTACTACATACCTCTTGATGAAGAACACACCACCACCTCTGAAATAGTCTTGCTCAAAACATTAAACTCAAATTTATAGGAGACACAGAGGAGCCAGGGACATGCTGAATTATATAATGGTACAATCAGCAAAATCCAGATTGTGGGAAACTATAGGGCAAATGATCTGTATCTTCCCTAAATTGCAAGGGGAAGAAAGATTCAAAGGAAACTGATAGATTCAAAGAAATCTAAGACCTCTTCCATGCCCCTCCCTCTAAACACACACCCAGAAGGAAACCACAGGCAGAGCTGCCCTGTGCAGGGAGAGAGGCTGGTCCTGGGCAGGTGTACTGGGAGCTGGCCTCGGGTGGGGGCCTGGGGTGGTTATAGCAAGGAGCAAACTATCCGCCTCCTTCACCTGGGTCATTGTGGTGACCTCTTCACGCAACTCCTTGTTTCTGGTCTTGACCTACTTCTAGAAATTCTGTTAAAGCCTGAAATCATTGGCGCTTCTGCTCAGCACTCTCCACCGGCTTCCCATCTCAGAAACGTGACCTGCGAGGCCCTCTGCCTCCCGCCTGTTACTTGTTCGACCTCATCATCTAGTCATTCCTCCTTCAATCATTCCTGCCACAGCAGTCTCCTCACCTGCCCCCACGGAGGCCTTGGCACATGGTCTTCGGCCTGCCAGGAGGACTGTCCTGCTGCGACACACGGCCTTCCCTTTTTGTTCAATCTGAAATGTCAGCTCCACCTTCCTGACTTGCGGACATTTCACACCTCTCTTTCCTGCTCTATTTTCCCCCTAGTACCTATCTCCAGATGACGTACTGGCTATTCTCATTTAAAAAACCCCTCTTACTGCCTGGCTCCTCACTTGAATGTAAGTTCCACGAGAGCAGGGGCTTTTGTCTCCTGGCTGATGGTAGCTACTTGGCTCTTTGTACAGTTGACAGATGTTACAGGAGAGAGTGGCCAACTCACATCAAGGTCCTGCCAAAACTCCTGGAACCCCCAGCTGGTTAGGTTAGCAGTAGCCTCAGAAACCTCCTGAGACAGGCACTGAAAAGGTCTACCTGTAAGAAGCACTGAAATGAACACTGAGGTGATAAGCAGGAGACTAGATCACTCCAGGATTGCCTGTAAATGCAGACTGTTAAGAAAGCCAGAGATAAAGTTTTGAGTTAAACCAGGAAAAGGCTGTCTGTGATGTTCTTATCATCAGGAGAGATGAGCAGTATCTCTGGATTCTGCTCATCAGGCAGCACGCTGTGTTGCACTGAATGGTCCGAGTGGTGGCAGCGCTTGTAAAACCCAGCAGCTTGAGCACTGTCTTCAGTGTCACACCTGGGACCGTAAATGTCAGACCGAATTACACACCGTCCTAACATCACAGGCCAAGATGAGAAGCATCAGTCCGAGCTGCCACTGAAATGGTGTCTGCTGGTCTGGAGCCCCGTGGGGAATGACCCATGACGATTCCAGCTACAGAAGGGTGCAGAGGAGAGGTCATCTCGTGAAAGAAGAAGCCTAGTGTTACAGTGTTCAGAATTCACTAGGCCCAAACCGAACAGGATTACGCATGCTGTATTGTTACTGCAGCGCAGAAGATCTGTTTCAGGGCTAACCTTACGTGCTTGTTTCACCGTGAGAGTGAACTGCCAGCTCAGTCTTCTCCCAGCCGTACTGGCTCTTGGTAAATAACTCACAAGAAGCATGAACAGAATACTGCCTTATTAACTGTATACACCGCTCGTAGAAACTTAGCATTTAGGAAACATGATCTCACATTTTAACCTATAGTGCTTTGATACAATCTAGTATTTGTATATACTCCTCTAAGTATATCATTTTTCAGAAATGATGTAAGTATATAATTTAAATTGATAAATACATAATTTAATTGATAAATACATAATTAAAATGATATAAATATATGATCTAATATATAATTTATATATACATAAATGCATAAAATACATAATGCTTCTTCCTAACAGCAGGAGATGTGGACTGGGATTTCATAATAGCCAGTTAATCTCTCCCTTGATTTCTTTTAAAGCTTAGACTCCAGAAAGTAGCCTTTCCCTGTTTTTAGTATCTTGTCATCTTCATAATCATTTGCTCCTAAATTTTTCTTCTGTGGATTCCATTTTACCCTCAGGTCTGTTGACTTGAAGATCATGACCTAATGAATGAATGAAAGTAGTGGTAGACACCTGTGCAGGGTGGGCCAGCTCTGCCGGCAGGTGTGTCAGAGAGGCAAATCAAAGATTCACCTTTGCCAGTAGGCAATGCGGAAGGAGCTACTGGTCGTTGTCCCCGCCCCCCCCCCCCCCCCCCCCCCGCCACCCAGCCAAGCTATTAGTTGTATTGATGTGCACATGACTGTCTTTCTGTCCCACATTCTAGGTGCTCATGTGACTATCACGGACCGAAAAGTAGCATTAGAATTTCTTAAGTCAAATGTTCAAGCCAACTTACCTCCCCATATCCAACCCAAAGCTGTTGTTAAGGAGCTGACCTGGGGACAAAATTTGGGGAGTTATTCACCTGGAGAATTTGACCTGATACTTGGAGCTGATATCATATATTTAGAAGAAACATTCGCAGATCTTCTTCAGACTTTGGAACATCTCAGTAGCAAGCGCTCTGTGGTTCTTTTAGCTTGCCGAATTCGCTATGAACGGGACAACAACTTCTTAGCGATGTTGGAGAGGCAATTTACTGTGAGTAAGGTTCACTATGATCCTGAAAAAGATGTACATATATACAAAGCACAGAAGAGAAACCAGAGGGAGGACTTATAGTTGGCTTTAATTTATAAGAATGTTGTTATTGAGTGCCAGTGAGGGTCTTTGACTGGGAATTGAACCATATTTAATGAAATGGATTACTGAACGGAAAGTCTAACCAAAGGTTCTCAAGGGCCAAAGCACACGGTTAAAACAAAGGAGCATTTTGTTCCATTGCTATGACATTTCGGTCCTATTTGACTCTGAAAAATTCAACTACCATTAAAGGAATATATGAGATATTTGTGTCCCATGCTGTTCTCTCTTGATTCAGTTTCCCTGATGATGTAATGAAGGGTTGGTATAAGCGTGTCTTTAAAGCAGCGAGCTTGTTTTGGGAGGTTAACCCGTGCAAATTATTTGACACGCATTTGAGATGTAGGTTTAGCCCAGTTTTCTAATTTTGTGAATATAAAGCAAGAGGCTTGATGTATATCCCCTGAGCTGTTAATGCTCTTGAGAACTTTTTGTCTGCCCCATTTAGGGCTAAGTAGTTTTGGTTATTTGAGAGTAGGATATGAGTTCTTGGAGGTTCTCATTTCATGCTTTTTGGCTTAATTTCTGATTTAGGTATATAAACAAAGGATTAAATACAAATAAAATTTTAGCTACTTTTTGAAAACTAAAATCTTGGCCCTCCATGTGCTGTGCACAGGCTATCTTCCTCAAAAGCTGTAGGTTTTCCCTTAGCACTCCCCTTTTTCAAATGTTGTTCTAGTGTTTCTTGCTTAGACTTTCCCCTCCTCTTTGTAATGCGTAGGGTGACAATGAAATCGGTTTTAAATCTCACGCCTTCATGGGAGGTTAGCTTCCTGAGCAGAAGCTCCTTCTATACTGGATTGCCCGGAAGACCGGGGCAGGGGGAACCGGCTGGAGAACCAGGACTGTTCCGTGCCTCTTCCCTGGCTGCCTCCCAGTAGCCCGTGCCAAATAGTGTTGAATGAAAAAGGTACATTCCATTTAGAGAGGACTGGTCTTTGGGTAAATGATTGCTTCATTGTTTTATGATTACCTTTGACAGACCTTATGAATGAAGTCACACACACATTTTTTTTTAACAAGGTACAAGCTTAACAGCTTCAACAAATTTAGATAAGAAGAATATTATAATCTCAGTATGGCGTTTGCAAATATCTTCTCCCATTCTGTCAGTTTTCTTTTCGTTTTGTTAACTGTTTCCTTTGCTGTGCAAAAGCTTTTGATCTTGATAAAATCCCAATAGTTCATTTTTGCCCTTGCTTCCCTTGCCTTTGGCGATGTTCCTAGGAAGATGTTGCTGTATGGTATTTGGTACTAGAGATAGATTTCCTTTGTAAAACATTAGAAACAAGACCTCTTTCCTCTTAACCTTTCAATGACTATCTTGGATGTGAAAATAACCAATACGTTATTTTCTGCATATTATTTTAGAGGTTTTACTTTAATAAAGATGAATTATGAATTAAAAGTTCTGAGCATTCTGTGATGTACTGGTTCAACACAGTTCTTATACGTACACATGAAAGAGAAATACCCATAACTTGGCAAATCCGTAAAATACCAGTAGTGTGCCATGAACATGGAAGGTCTTTGAAAACAAGTGAAGGAGGAGCCGTGCAGTATCATCAACGCTGTAATGAAAGGCCAGTCCCGTTCAGGTATGTTGTTAGTTTTTTTTTTTTTTTTTTTAATATTTTATTTATTTGACAGAGACACAGCAAGAGAGGGAACACAAGCAAGGGGAGTGGGAAAGGGAGAAGCAGGCTTCCCACGGAGTAGGGAACTGCATGCGGGTCTCCATCCCAGAATGCTGGAATCATGACCTGAGCTGAAGGCAGATGCTGAACGGCTGAGTCACCCAGGGGTCCCTTTTAGAAGTATTTTTTTTTTTTTTAAAGATTACTTATTTATTTATTTATTTGACAGACAGAGATCACAAGTAGGCAGAGAGGCAGAGAAACAGGCTCCCTGCTGAGCAGAGAGCCCGATGCGAAGCTCGATTCCAGGACCCCGGGATCATGACCTGAGCTGAAGGCAGAGGCTTTAACCCACTGAGCCACCCAGGAGCCCACCTTTTAGAAGTATTTTAATTGAGTTCAGCTCCTTTACTTGAATATCCTTGACTTTGGAGGACAGATATTAAAATGATTGTTGGTATAGATGGAGACACGTGGGATGGGGTGGGGATGGGGAGCTTCAAGATGCCTGCATGCGCTACCAGTGAAGTGAAGCAAGCATAAATTGGTGGTTTTACATGTTCACAATAAGAATCAGAAAAGGTTTAAGGTAATTTTTTGTTGTTGTTTTAATAGAAGAAAATAAAAGGCAAGAAAAATTCATCTGGAATAGTGGGGTGGTTTCAGTGAAAAGTGCTTTTTTGTTTGTTTGTTTGTTTTTGTTTTTGGCTTTGGGTTTCAAATGTCGCAGGCTAAGTTCCCTGGGGAAATAGAGGTGGAGGTTAGGGTGCAAAGTTTAAATGGGAATGCTTTCAGATCGACATATCTGAGGAGGTAAAAAGTAGCAAGACTGGGAAGGAGGGGGAAGTTGGGCTGGGATGCAGTTACGAAAGTCCTCTGAGAACTGAGAGCTAGAATGGCCCTGCATTTGGGCCTATTAAGGCAAGGGGGTGGGACTTTATATCCCAGTGGAGGAGATTAGTCCTGTGACCTGAGGGGCTGACTTTAGGGGAAAGAAAAAATAACTGGAGAGGATCTCAGCTCAGGGCCATCAGCCAACATTCCCAGAAGCTGGGGAAGTGACTACTTCATGGGGGTGAGGGGTGGGGGAGAGAAGATATCCCTGGATAGCATGCCACAGTGTCCACTATAAATGTCAGTAAAGTTGTAACATTTTTCTCTTATGTTCAGGAATTTAATTGATCCCCAAAGTGTGCATTCTAAGTGTGCTCGTTTTACCCTCAAGGATTGAAACCCAGTCCAAACTTACTATACACTAAGCCTTGATTCTCACATTGCTCGGTTTCTTAGAACTCTTACAGTTATCCAGTGGCTATCAGTGACTTTTACCAGAACTAAAGCCAAATACTGGTGCCAAGATGCTGTGTTAAAATATATGTATATATGACATTAGGTTCTTAGAACTACCACTACTATAAAGTACGCTGTCATCTTCTAAGTGGATTACTTCTTGATGGTATCTTGCTTTAGTTCATGATAGATGTATCCGAAGCCCTGGTACCATCTTTAGTTAGTTTCTAGTGGAATATGTATTCCTTCATACAGAAGGATCAGAATTCTAATCAAAATACTTTATCTAAATTAACTGAACATTAAATTGAAAACTCAGGGCAGAATAACAACAGTGTCTGGAATGTTTTATCTTACCAAATACAACTTATGCTCCTAGAAGACAATACCTCTTTCAAGTGTTAACGTGGTACCCTCTTCATAAAGGGCAGGTGTTTTCAAAGGGGTAAATAAATGTTTACTCATGAAAAATACAGATTCAAAAAAACCCCAACAGATTCCTTTACAGATGAGTTAGCTTATTGCTTAATTTCCATGCTTTACTTTCCCTTGCCCAAGGTGTAGGGATAATCAGATCAAAAAATAAAGCCTACTCTCATAAAGTTATTATCAACTTAAGAGAAAAAGATTCACCTCTAATATCAAATCCACTTACTCTCTATGCTTTTAGTTTATGGTGGTTGATAGGATTTATCAATTTTTAAATCAAGAAAACAAAATTTTAATTAACACATATTGGTAAGAGGACCTAGACATAGGGCTTGACATCGTAGTTGGTGAAATAGTCATGTGATTTATTTTAGCGTCAGAGATATGGTCACAGTTCTGCTACCCCAGAACCACTACCTAGGCAGATGTAGTGGCATTTTCAAGGTCTTTAACAAGAATGAGGCAAGACACTGTTGTGAGCATGGAGAACCTTGCTCTGGGAAACGAGGCTTTGTTTCTCTGGACAGACAAGCACTGCATGAAATCAGGGCAGATTTCTTCTCAGTTCTTTTTTGTCACTTTAAAAACAGGATTTGTTAGCTCAGAAGTTTCTTTCCACAACCAGCAAAGTGTTCCAATTTAACACTAGAAAAGCCGGCATGATGAGAAACTCTTTCCTAGCTAAGAACAACTGCTTCTGAGGAAGATTAGAAGGGAAAACCCTGTGAAAGAGGCGTGAAAAGAAGGCCTACCCACTACAGAGCCTTGTGTTAAGGCTGCTTCTGCTATTCTTAACTCCTAAAAAAAAAAAAAAAAAAAAAAAAAGAAAATCACATACACTATATATAAAGTTTGACATTAAAAAATACTAACCAACATATTTTTTATTAATTTAGCAGATTCTTAATGCTTAGGAAGCAACCTCCAAATATGAATAAAACCATACTTAATAAATGACAATTTCCACTTCTTGGTATCTATCCCAAAGATAAACTAGCTTGGATTTATACTAACTTGTGTGTATCTGTAACAGTCAAAAGTCACAACCCAAGTGTGCACAAGAGGGTCCTTCCTAAATAAACTATGAGATATCTGTACAGTAGGACAGTGCACACCAGTTAGCAAGACTGAGGCAGATGTACACATACTGAAATAGAACTGACAAGACACATTCAGTGAAAAAGTACCATTTATGTAAAAGGGAGAGGAGGAGAGAATAGACATTGCATTTGCATGTGCACGCACAGATTGTCACTAAAAGGATACACAAGAAACTGCTTTGTACTGCTTCCCCATTTGTAGTTTCTTCCAAATGTGAAGTGAAAAAAAGTGAGAACATTATCAAGAAAGTGAAAAGGAAACTTAAGAAAATGGGAGAAATAACTGCGAATCACATTAGCTGATAAGAGTCTAGTATCCAAAAATATGTAAGGAACTCCCAAAACTCAACAACAAAAAACACCATTAAAAAATGAGCAAAAGACTTGAACAGACATTTCTCCAAGTAAGATTTACAAATAACCAACAGACCCATGAAATGATTCTCCACATCATTAACGAGCTGCAAATCAAAACCACGAGATACCTCTTCACACCCATAAGAATAGGCATAATTAAAACAAAAACAAAGAACAAACGTTGGCCAGGGCATGGAGAAATTGGGACCCTCATACATCTCTCGGAGTGTGAAGTGGTGCGGCAGCTCAGAAATCTGGCAGGTCCTCAGAAAGTAAACACAGAGTTGCCATATGGCCCAGCAATTCCACTCCTAGGTAGCTCTCCAAGAGAACTGAAAACGGGACTCAAATACTTGCACATGAGTGTTAGTAGCAGCACTATACACAATA